GCTTTCCGACTTAAAACTAGGAAATACTCATGCCTGGAATAATCCGTTCAACTAAGCATCAAACAGGCCTTACAGGATATCTCTTTAGGCATTTACTTTAGGGAAACGCACCCATGAGACGCGGCAGAGAACTGGGTGGTCTGACTGAAAAGGGCTAAGGGCCAAACAGGCAGCGCCGTCCACTGCCACTTTCTGAACGCCAAGTGGGTTTTCCCAACCCCGGCGGCTGGAGATTGGACAGTGAAGACCGGGAGGGTTGAACTCAATGGTTTTGCTCTGTGTCCACAGGCCTCCAGAGTTTAGGGCCTTTGAGAGGAGGCAGGGTGTCACTTGTACAGCTCTCGGTGAAGGGAAAGTTGGGTGTCCCTTCTCTACCCAGTTTCTGCCTCGTAGGGCTTCAACCGTAACTATAGAAGATGGGCGAAATGATTGCAAGTGCAGGTGTGCTTTCAAATATCCTCAAATATGCTTTCAAATATGCCCTTGAACCACTCCACATGCTACGGAAGAGAAGGAAGCCTGGCTTTGCGTGTCATGCATGCAGTGTTTAGCACAGTGGTTATACGTTGGGCTGCAAACCGCAAGGACAGAAGTTCAAAACAACCAATTCCTCCACAGGAGAAAGACAAGCCTTCTAGTGCCATCAAGAGTTACAGTCTCAGAAACCCACAGGGGTCATTCTACCCGATCCTGTAAGGGCTGTTCTGAATCAGCATCGACTTGATAGCAGTGGGTTAGGTTTTCTGGGTACATGTATGTAACATGATTATTTGAGCACATTCATGTCATCTATTTCATACCTTGATGACCAAGAGGAAGACTCGATGAAATGGACTGACAACAGTGGCTAACAGTCCTGAGCTGAAACATTAACAAGCATTGTGAGGATGGAGCAGGACTAGGTAGGGTTTTGTTCATAGGGCTTGTTTTGTACATAGGGTTTCTGGGCATTGGAACCAACTCGACCACATCTAACAACAACACTACATGAACATGTTATCTGTGCACATCATTATTTTTGTTCAAGAGCGTATAGATTATTATCACGTGCATATTACTATTATTTTTCCATGGGAAACAATAGACTCACTGTTGCTCTTAACCGAAGAGCTAAAATACCAAGATGACCTTGAGCTACCTTCAAAGCAAGTCACGGGATTTTATAGCAGATTTGAAGTGGATGAGCAGATACAATAAAAAAGAAAAACAGCAATACACTGGGGGAAACCCAAGGCAGAGGACAGACACAGAGACCTCATTGATGGCACTTGGTCCTCAGAGTCAGTTCGGGTGGGTGTGAGCATTAAAGTGGGGGGTGGGGGGGCAGCGCTGAATTGAATTCCTGACTTTGCCAGCACAGACCACTAGCCGGGTGCTCTGCCACAGGGCAGGTACTTTACCAGCTTCTTCTGCCTCCCCCTGGGGAGCTTCAACCATCTGTGCTAGGTCTCTACGTCCAAGAGGCTTGATATTGTCAGAAACCCCCTTTGGAGTGTGGGAGGGCCTAGAGCATCTGCTGTCTGGTTTTCCAATCACCCATAAGAATGCCAGCTTCGGCGGCAGTTCCTCTCCTGCCATATTACTGTTGAAGATGATGAGGAGGAGCCCTGGATCTTTGGTACTGACCTCACTGACAAGCAGAAAAAAAACATGCCCTCCCCCCCCCACCCTCGCTTACGAATGAAATCATCTCCATTCATTGCATTCAAAGCAAACTGCTCAGGAATGGGAGGGCTTAACACAGTTAAGATGTGTCCACTCTCCAAAGCCAATTATACATTCAATGTAATTCCCATAGAAATTCCAACGCCCTTCTTGACAACGATGGAGAAGCTGATCCTCACATGCACGTGGAAGGGCTGGGGAGTCTGTGTAGCTAAAGCAATTGTGAAGAAGAAATATAAAGGAGGAGGATTCACAGCTTGTGATTTCAAAACATAGTATAAAACCACAGTCATTCAAATCGTTTGATACTGGTGTAATAGACAAATGGAATAGAATAGAAAGCGCAGAAACAAATCCCTCGATCTGATGTCGGCTGATTTTCAACAAGGGTGCTAAACCCATTCATTGGGGGAAAATGGGTCTCTTTCAGTAGTACATAGTTCTGGGAAACAAGGAAAACCAATTGGAAATTGATCCAAGGGTCGAAATTGGGAAACTCAAACCATACATATCTTGGACGAAACCAGGGAGGAAGCTACAGGACCTAGATTTTTATGATGAGCTTTCGGCTCTGACAACAAAAATACGCACCCCAGATGGGCTTGCTAGGAGCCAGCATTGACTCAATGGAAATGAGTTTGAGTTTCTGGTTTTGTATACCAAAAGATGATATCAGGAAAAGTCAATTAACCTACAGAGCAGTAGAAAGTGTTGGGTAGCCATGGAAAAAGCTGGCTCTCTCCACCTTCTAAGATACACATATGGCGACAACATAACAAAAACAATACAACGCAGGGGTGGGGGGGAAGGCCAAGGACATAAGTAGACATGTCACCAAAGAAGATATTCAAATGACCATCAAGCACATGAAAAGACATTCAAAGGCACTGGCCATTAGGAATTTACAAATAAAAACCCCCATGCAATGCCATCTGACTTCTAATAGGCAATGACAAACACACACACAAAGGAAAACATTCGGTGTTGGTGAGCTCGTGAGAAACAGCAACCCTCATTGACTCGGCGCGGGGATGTGAGTTGGTACAACTACTGGGGAACATACTTGGTGGTGCTGCAAAATGCCGACCACAGAACGGCCATGTGACCCAGCAGATCCATGATGAGGTATACATCGCAAAGACCTGAAAGCAGAGGCACACACAGATGTGTGTGCACCAATGGTCCTACAGCACCATCCACTCACACTCACCAAAAGGAAGAAGCAATCCAACTATCAACTGATGAATGGGAAAGCAAGATGTGGTTCATACACTCCAGGGCATATGGCTCAACCAGAGAGAGGAAGGGTGGACTCCACCACATGGATGAATCTTGTTGTTGTTGCTAGGTGCCACCAAGTTGGTTCCGACTCATAGGGACCCTATGCACAACAGAATGAAACACTGCCTGGTCCTGCACCATCTTTGCAGCGGTTCCTATGCCTGAGCCCTTGGTTGTAGACACTGTATCAGTCCAGCTCATGGCGGCCTTCCACGGTTCCCACTGCCCCTCCCCTTTCCCAAGCATCATGGCCTTCTCCAGGGACTGGTCTCTCCTGACAATATGTCCAGCGGACAGCATTCTGAGCAAACACAGTCAGATACAAAAGGGTAAATAGTTGATGATATCATTTACATGAAATACACAAACAGAAAAGTCAAAGGTAATTTATGATTGCTAGGGCGGGGGTGGGGGTGGGAGAAAGGATGTTTATTTAGTGCATTGAGTGTCGTTAATAATTCGGAAAATGGAAGCAGGAAAAACTGCCCGACTTGAAGACCGCAGCCAAGGTCACTGGACTGTCCAGGTGGAAATCGGTGAGGCGCTATGTAGTTTACCTCATTATCACTCTGAGAACAATAATAAAACAGACTGCCAGGAGAAACGCACAAGGCAAGGGGGACATCACCGTCTCCACACATCGTCTCTCGTAAGGGAGAGAAAGGGCATATTTACCCGGAATAACTTCCTGTTTTGATAAGGTTCACAGACCAATTTTTCCACGTTCCCACCAACAAAAAAAGTCAGCACCACAACGGTCATCAATATCCAGCACACGAGGAAACTCAGTCCAACTCCACTGGGAAAAAAAGGAAAGAACGAAAAGAAAAGTTCAGATAAACTTGACAAGGAATTATCCGATTATTCATCGACCACCATGGCTTCTCATGTACTGGTGGCCCCTTAGGCCTTTTTCCATTTTGTCCTGGGGTTGTTTTTTGTTCTCAAGTTAGTAGTGTTTACTCTTTCTAGCTGTCAGATGTATAACGTGGACCTAGAGTCTGTGGCTTTTTGTAGATG